CCCCCCGGGAGGCCTCAGGTGCCGAGGGCCCTGATAGGGCCCGGGGGGGCGAGAGGGGGCGAAAACGCCCCAAGCAGGCACATGAGCCCCCTCCTGCAGGTGCCGAGGGCCCTGACACAGGGGGGGGACAGGCCAGGTGGCGGCCCTCCTCGGCGGAACAAGGATGGGGACGACAGAACCAGCGTGCACAACACCCCAGCTGGGGTCAGAACAACCACACAGCTGACACAACGGCAACGCCGCAGCCCCGTGCCACAGGTGCCGAGGGCCCTGAGATGGCAGGGGCGGGACGGTTCCCCGCAGGTGCCAAGGGCCCTGACACGGGGGGCCGCGCCCAGCAGGCCCGAGTGCCGGACAACTGGCAGCACACCGCAACGCCGAGGAACACGCCCAGGAGGCAGCCGATCCCACTTCCGGCGCCCAACATCATCAAGCAGGACCCGGTGGTTTTTCATAAGAGTTCTGTTGGGCTGAATGAAGGGGGCCAACGCCTTTCAGCTACCCCCCTGACAAGTCCCACGGAGCTGTCACCGGGAGGGGACACCTTCCCGTGGATGGAGAACATCCCGGAGCGCCTGGCACAGCGGCTGAGATGGACACAGGGCACATCGCCCAAAGTTCCATCCAGTGGGCCCATCATTGTCCTGCTCTATGCAGGCAAGGAAGACCCAACTTCCTTAGACAGCTGTCTTCATGCCAACTACCCGCACCTCTCCAGCATGGTGGTGGCAGTAGACATCCTACGATCCGGACCAAAAGGGAACCACGACATGCTCCAACCCGAGCTGTATGGAGCGCTCTGCACGGCAGCAAAGCAGGGCCGAGTGGTCTTCATTGGGGGAGGACCCAACTGCAGGACATGGTCCATCCTGCGCCACATACCAAAACCGGGGGCCCCCACCCCGGTGCGAGGACGCACTCGAGAGACACTTTGGGGCCTCCCACACCTGGACCAGGCCGCCCAGACTCAGCTTGATGAGGACAGTACCCTCATTTTGAGGCAGATGTACATCACCAGCCTGGCAAGGGCCTCAAGATCGGCGGTCTCTCTGCCAGGGCCAAAATCCTTCTTGGAGCACCCGGAGGACCCAGTGGTGAGCAGCTCGCTGCCCAAAGCCAAGGAATGCTCATCCTTCTGGATCACGGAGGAGGGGCAGCTTTGGATGGAGGAAAACTCCCTGACAGCAATCTCCTTCGACCAGTGCCGCCTGGGCCAGCTGGTCAAGAAGGCCACCACACTTGCCACGGATCTCCCAATCCAGGACTGGGATCAAATGCGGTGCACACATCAGTCACATGTGGGCACCAGCGAGTCCTCGACTCTCAGCAGATACCCCTGGGATATGATGGCAGGCCTGGCCAAAGCCATCGCTGTGTCACTCGCAGCGCCGGGGCACATCCGGATCCCCTCACAATTCCCGGGAAACCCTAAGGAACCACCTAAGGGAAGGGGGTCGGACCCCCCTGGGGGCCCTTCTCCCCGGGGAAAACGGGGACCCAATCAGGGAGGCGGTCCCTCCTCGTCACACCAGGGCCCAGAGCCCGGAGGCAAGAATGCCCCGAAGCCCCGCCAGCACGGGCACATCCACCATGAGGCTGACACCGTAAGCCCTCGTGGAACTATGAGTCCAGACTTCCCATCTCCCATGCCCCCGATGGCCGGAGATGCGGAACAACTGGAAAAGGAAGAACATGGGGACCAGGTCCTGGACCGCCCCGAATGTCTGCCCGCTTTCCGGGTCCCACGCCTCACTGACCGAGTTGCGATTGTCCAATTGGGTTTCCGTTCACGCCCCCTGAGAGATGGGGGGGGGAAACCTTCCCCGGGGAGGCTCAACCCCCCTTTCGGAGAGTTTCCCCTTTGGCTACTTTGGGCGCCCTGATCATGACCCTTACCAGGCCCTGGATTGATAAGGTCCGGATGTCCCTGGCATCAGGTGCCACCACACACCCCTTCCAGGAAGCCGACCTCGAGGAGCTGCGGGCTATCCTAGGACCGAGGCACCTCCATGAACGATGCCCAGGACAACCCTTCCTCCTGGACTTAGTGTCGCACTTGGCATCCCTTTCAGGTGACCCTGATTGGGAGTTCCCCCTGACACTGAAAGAGGGGGTCCCCTTGGGAGTCTCGGACCCTACCTTGACCTCCCCGGGAGTTTGGCCCACTAAGGAGGAGCTTAAGGGAGAGGCCTGGCTGGGGGAAGACCCCCCCCCGCCAGTGGCTCATGATAACTACCCAACGGCGGAACTCTTTGCCGAGGAAATCGAGTCAACCTTTTACGAGGAACGAGCCTTGGACATGGTGGACGGGCCCTTCACTCGCTCCGAGGCGGCGGAGAGGTGCCGCTGCAAACCGGAGGAACTTTGCCCGGGCCCCCTTGCAGGGATTGATGAGTCGGACAAGATCAGGACGATTTACGATGGCTCCAAAGGGGGAGCAAACGCACACATCCAGGCTCACACAGGGGAGAAGACCACTGCACCGATGGTCGGAGACTGCCTCCACGCCATCCACTGGCTCAGGACAGCGACGGACCATCCCCATCTACTTGGGGCCACGCTCCCGAACACTGAGGAGAGACCTCGGGATGTTCACCAGCCGGTGCAGGGGCAGTCCCCAGGTGCCGAGGGCCCTGAGAGGGACCCCCGCAGCACCAGCCTGCCCCCCAGGGCCGAGGGGCCTGATCGGGGCAGGGGGATTATGGATACCTCCGGCGGCATGGACGTCTCTCTGGGATCGACACCCTCAGGAAAGGGACCACTCCCAGGTGCCGAGGGCCCTGATAGGAGGGCCCCCTTCCCCCCAACCCCCCCAGGCACGGAATGCCCTGGGGGGAGCGGGGGGGAACCCCTGAGATGGCAGCTGCCGACACAGGGGGAAACCTTCATCATCCTCAAGGCAGATGTCACCAAGGCCCAAAGTGCTCCCTAAAGACTGGAAATACCAGGTGGCCTGCATCCAAAACCGGTGGTGGGTCAACAGAGTGGGCACGTACGGCATGGCCTCGGCACAGCTGTACTGGGGAAGAAAGGCATCCCTGGTGCTCAGGCTCTTGTACTACATCTTCCCCCATGTGGACTGGCACTTAGTCTTTGTGGACGACTACTGCTGGGTCCTCAGATGGAGCCGGGCGGACTGGGACGCCACAGCCATATTGGCTACACTGCTGGCGCTGGGAGTCCCGCTTTCCTGGAAGAAGACGGCGCTCTCCCCGATCAATACCTGGTTGGGTTTTGTGGTGGACCCAATCACGCCCTGTGTACTGCTGGCTCCAGTCAAACACGTCATAATCCTGGCCACTCTTAAACGGCTGGCCCAGGGGGACATCTTCACCAGCAAGGAGGTGGAACAAGCCCTAGGCCGTATTCAATGGGCTACTTCGGCGTGCCCATTGACGAAACCTTTCCTCCAGCCTTTTTGGAGCTGGAAGAAGGCCTGCACCACTTCGGGCAGGCCACCGAAGCTGGTTCGTGCTCTGGCCATACTTTTGGGGAGACTCTTCAACCAGAGGTTCCCACTGGCATCCCCATTTGCTCCCACACTCCCATGGACGGGGGCATCTGATGCGGGAGCTGGCAGACAGGCGGACCATGCATGGGTGGGTGGTTGGTGCTCGGACGTGCCCAACCCCGACAAGTCCCGTGTTAAGTGGTTCCAGCACAGAATCACACCGGAGGGCGAGCCGTGGGCCTTCACTACTGGGGACCCGCAGCGGGCGATAGCGGCCTTGGAGCTCTTCGGCCTCCTCCTTTTGGTGAGGGCCGTTCTGCTTTGTGCGGCCGGCTCGGCTTCTCACACTAGGATCCTGGTGGCTAGTGATAACCAGGGAAATGTTTTCTCCCTTCTTAACGATTCCACCCGTAGGATGCCCAATGCGGCCATCCTCATGGAAATTGTGCTCACGCTGCATGACCAGCAGGTCATGCTGGGGCCGTCGCATGTGAAACGCGACTTCAACACGTGGGCGGATGAGCTTACTCATCCGGACCCGCAATTCCCGACTGAGAACCGGGTCTTCCCCTCAGTCGAGAGCGAATTGATCACACTGATCTTCGCTACTTTCCTTCCTCACCCATGATGCCGGGAGGGCATCCGGTGAGGTGGGAGGATTCCTCCCTCGCTGTGGGAGTGGCATCAATCCTACTCCCATCAGCTGCTGAGGGGAGCTGCCCAGTGGAACTGGGCAATCCTCCCATTTTGGCACTAACCCTTATGCGGCAATAAAGGAGGCACCGTTTTGCGAATAAGGCCTCAGTAGCACCTGAGTGGTGCTTCAAAGAGTCTGGTGGTAAGCAAGAAGTTGGGCTTGTTTTTGGCAAAAGGGGAAACAACTGTGGTTGTTTGCAAAGGTCAGCCCTAAAAGATGTGGGTATGTCAACGCTTCTGCGTTGGTTTAGGACGGTCAACGGTCAGAAAAGGGAGCTCGCCGAGGTAGGTTGAATGTTTTGTTCTTGGGGCATCCCTTTCATATGTGCGTGGGCATGGACCGAGGTCACAAGAACCAACAACAAGCATGAATCAATGAACCTACAATCTGCAGAAAAAGCGGCCACAAGTGGAAGTGAATCAGAAGGGGACTCTCCAATCATTCACATGCACCATCCTTTTCTTTTGCTGAGATGAGGATTCTCAAACGGTTTATTCCCAAAAGCCCCCAAACTCCAAAAGGAGCAAGTTCTCACCCACTGGCAAAACTCCCTGAGTTCCTGGACTTTTAGCAACTTTTTGGGAAAACCATATTGTAGTGGTAAACAACTACCTGGAGTCTCCATGACCCTTTAACCTTGTGGTCATTACCGAAAATGAAGGGGTCGTGGACCCATTTTTTATACGGGTCATGGAGATGTTTAGATAGGCGTTTGACTTTTTTCGGCCAAGCCACCCATTGAAGGAGAGACTGGAACGCCAATTAGCCAATTTTTGAGGCCAGCCCACGGAAGTGAGACTGGGACCGGGGGTAACCCCCATGGCCACGAGCCAAATCCTCCAGCCTCGCAAGGCCCGGGTGGACTTGGAGCACCTGGACGCGACTTGGCCCAAGGCTCAGGCCTTGGCCGGGCGCGGTGTGGAGGCGAACCTGGAGCCCGGCGACCTGCGCCTGGAGCAAAACGGGCGGAGAAGAGTCGGACGTCGGGAGGCGGTCCACCATTTGTGTCACAATCAAAACCGAGGTAAGTGAAGGTTAGTAAGGGACAATCCCAACCATAAATAGCTACGCCCGCCTTCTAAATTCTTTTCATGGCTCTGGGTCGACCATTTTCATACCAGGTTTTGATTAAAACAAACGAACAAAAATGGGGGGACACAGCCATGGAGAAAAGGCACCCTAAGCATCCCAACTTCATTGGGGGTGTCGTAGTGCTGCGGGGTGTGGGGGAAGGTGTTCTTGAGGCGCAGAGGCAATGGGGTTGTCACAGGGACACCCCCGGGGTGTCGTAGTGAGGGCCCAAAGCTCCGAGTGCAAAGTTGCGCGTGAAAGTACAATGCAAGCATTCCAGCAGAAACTTTTAGGCGCCCAGCCACACAGACTTGCAACATATCAAGCATTCAACCATATATGCAAAGTTGTTTCTTCGCTTTCGCTCTCACAAGAGTCGCCTGCAGTTGAAGGGTAAGCTCCGACTACCTACGCTCTGTTTCACGCTATGTTCGGGGATGTCTCACTCAATGCGTTGACGCTTCAGCATTAAGGCCGCTGCGTCAAAAGCAAAACCAAGTTGGGCCTTTAGAGCCGGAATGCTGAAAATTGCAAACAGAAAGGGCACATCCCCTGAACTAGCTGGGTTTATCTTTGACCAGGTGTTTGCGGTTCTCTACGTGAGGAATAGGAAATTGCGAGCCCGCCAACCTAGTAAATGAGCTTGCGCTTTTTGCCTAATAAGTTGACCTCTTGTTTTTTGACAGCGCTTCTTGGGCCAAAATCGAACACATAGTAATCATAGGCTTACGTGCTAAACATCATTGCGTCGATTACCTGACGCGAACTTTTATCACTGATATCACCTTCCAGCAGCGCTGGTAACGGTGTAACGATGCGTGCCTGAAGACAAGTCCAACATGGTCACACCAATCTTTGTCTAGTAGAAGCCGGTTCCGGGGTGCAGATGAGAACTTGCTTCAAACTTTACACATATGCGAAGCGAAGGTACTGATGTGTGCTGAGTATACTTTCCGGTTCGGTCTTACTCCCTTATTCTGCGCGTTTTGCCAGTGGCAACGATGGACCAATCACGGACCCTTCGCTCACTTTAGCATTTCCACTAAACATGTCTGACAGAATCGAAGCAACAACAAACACCACCCGAGAAAGGTTGCGAGATGCTAATACACACAAAGCATCGCAAAGGACACACACCCACACACACACGCGCACACAGGGGCACCCAAAAAAGCCCGACCCAAGCTGCGGCAGCAATTAACAAACAGTATATCTCCTAACCCTAGGAGCCCAAGACCTCATTATTTGGGGCCTTTGGCCTGAAGGCTTTCAAACTCAAACGCTTTCAGATGCTTTCCGACGCGTTCTGGCGCTTTCCGGCGCTTTCCGACGCTTTCCGACGGCTGGGGCGTCACGGGGCGTCAAAACCTTGCAATTTTGACACCCCCTTTCCGACGTTTCCGATGCTTTCCGGCGTTTTCCGATGCTTTCCGATGCTTTCCGACGTTTCCGATGCTTTGTGATGCTTTCCGACGTTTCCGACGCAAAAGTTTGACCGCCCCCGCAGTCAAAGAAACATTACCACCGCCACGCATATAGCTCATGCCCAAAACACACACGCAAGTGCTCCAGCGTGGGCTGTTTAGATGCTGGAAGCGCGGGAAGACCATACTGCCGGCATACCCACAGGCACTTGGCTTGGCAACAAGCAATTGCTTTGGCTAAGTGTACTGTTGATGAGCCAGGTACGTTACCGAAGGAAGAGACACGCGCAAAAGCTTGACCTTTAGACGGCACACTCCAGCTGGAATGCACTGATGCAATACCTGGCAAACCCTTAATGGGAAATATCGAAAGGTTGGGTTTCAAGGAGATCTTGGCAGAAACAAACCAGTCCGATATACCCAGTGTGTTGGAATATGTGCGCTTAACCAAAGCAACGCTACCGACCTAAATTGCTCGTGGGAAACTCACGTTCGCTCAATGCCGCGTCACGCGCCTGCCAGAGTACAAGAGCAAATGGGTCCCCTTTGTTGCTGCGTTCTGCTTCGAACTGGTTTGGTCATTGACTCCGCTTCCGTAGATGTTTGACCAGGGGTGGAGCAGTTTGTTTCTGCGAGGTGTTAAGTATGAACCTTCCCAAGCATGATACTGTGACACATTTGGCAGGCAAAAGGTGGAATGACTAGTCAACATGTTTGTTTCGCCACTGGCGGAACAGGGCCAAGCAGCGCGAGGAATTGGAACACGCGCGTTGCAACTTTGCAAAGCGACGCGAGGCATCGTAAACATTGGGAAGGGTTGGAAAGCGTCGGAAATCTCAGAAAGCACCGGAGCTTGCCAACGTTAAAATCAAAGGCTTGAAGGACAGAAGCGGTGGAACGGTGTGGGATGTAAATTTTCGAGTCATCGAATGCGCTGGAACGAGTGAGAAAGCAACGGCAATCATTGTCAAGAGGAGGGCTGGAAGCGGGTGGCAGCATGCAAACAGAACTGGACAAGACAACAAAAAGAAGCTGTTCAAAGCGCTGCTGAAAACACGCGTAGAGTATGCGCCAGCTGCACAGCAAACCACTTTTTATGGTCTCATGGCCCTTGAATATGCATCCTTCGGGGCGTCGGGGCGTCGGGGCGTCAGCACTGTGTCCCCCACACCCCCGGGCTCTCTCAGGCACAGCATTTGGCCCCAGGTTCTCCAATGCAAGACCCGGGTTCTCCAATGCACACCCCAAAGATTCTTAGGGCAGGACATTTTGGCTGCCGCCAACACCCCGCCCCCCCCCCCTCCTCTTGGTCATGTTTTTTTCAGAATGCCAACTTGAAGCTCAAGAACTTCTCTTTCCAATGTCCAGAACCCCTGCGGTAGGTCGGGGGTGTTGGTTTACGTTTACACTTGCGCAACTTTTCAACTGTTTGCCTTTTTGGGTTGCCAGTGTTTTCCCTTCAACCAGGCGGAAAAAATGGCGCTGTCCCCGCAAATTCACCCAAGCTTTCCCCGTCCGACAGTTTTGAGCGTAACCCTCACTTCTCCATCAGCTTTGGCAAAATTAACCTAAGTAGCTCAAAGCAAGGTACTTCATTGAACGCCCCGGCTTTTCATCACTCATCGAACTCATGTTGTTTGGCCTTGCCTGGGTTTCAGTCTTTGTTCGCACCCACAACGGATCCACCTCTTGCGCACGCCTGCAAGTCTGAAACACGGAAACCGTGAACGTGTGAAATGTGCACGTATTCAGCTGCACGATTAACGCCAAGGCAAACTGTCTAGTCCACCTAAAAGCCTTAGATTCTTCAAGGTAGGCCATTACATTTCCGCAAGGATTCGTTCATCAAGACAGTCCTGGGTGACTAGTTCTGGTGTTTCTTAACATTTCTGCTGGCTTTCTCCTCCAATCCCAATGTTGACAGACACGGACAATGGCGTGTTACAATCACGCAAAGCAGCCTGCTTAAGCAGCCTTGTTCTTTCAGAATCATTGCTGCTGGATCGGGCCAATTGCTCGAGTGCATCCATCTACAGGACCAGTCATACTTTTGCAAGAGGAGCAGCCGGCTTCAAGTCAAGCACTTTGCAATTGGACTGAAAGGTCGTGTTGCGGGGAAATGATGTTCTGTTCTTTGAGGCTCTTCCTGCCGATGAGCTGGTTCCACCACGTGCACAGCCTGGCGGAGGAGAACGTGTCATTGAACTTTTGGTTCTACGACTCGGGGTTCCTCTTTGAGCCCTCAAAGGCATCGGAGGGTTTTTCGGGATCCAATCTGGGGGAGTCTCTGTTTTGTTCAGGCTACCCCCCCTCCCTCCCCCCCCTCATTTTTGTGAATTGAAAGGGAGCCAAAAGACACCCCAAACCAAAGTTGATGTCCATCTCCAGGAAATCTCTATGATCACGACTTATTTGTGGCGGAGTCCTGGCGGAACAGCACACAACAAACTGCCTTGCAAGAAAGAAGCACCACAGCTCCCCAAGCAGGGCTTGTCCTAGGGACAAGGTTTGTCCGTTTTCACCAGCGACTTCCGGACGCTTGGGCCAAATGCGGCGACCGCGGCGCAGGTGGAGTGGCCTTTGACGCAAATTTCGCTGCTGGAGCTGTCGCGGCACGTGGAGTACTTCGTGGCGGAGCAGCTGGGCCCCGCTGCCGTGGGGGCCTTTGTTGGCTGGTGGCTCAACGGCCAAATGGGTCCAGGCGCGGAATGGCCCGTGGAACCTGCGGAAGCTGAATGAGATGCAAATATCCCAGAT